CGCGCGATCAGCCCTCCCCACGGTCGGACCATCTTACGCTCGGCTCGCCAACTTGGCCGCCCATCCCGGTTGGACTCATCTTCCTCATGCATATTCCCTTAGCTGGTCTGAAGCTGCACTCGAGAATGGGGAACTACTGACATGGACAGGCCCACAAAGGCCATAAACCACTATAAGCAACCCGAGCCCATCATTCGGGGCCCAATGCATAACCCAGCCGATGGAGTCCAGAACAGTTGGAATCCAATATGGCATCAAGAACCAACGGCATTCAGACACGTGGCGGGTGAAGGACGAGCCACATCAACAGACAAAGATCTGCAAAGTTATTGCCACTGCACATCACCATTAATGCAGCCCATCACAGCATTTATTACGATAACACCTCTCCGCCGGAACAGGACCCCCTTACCCTGAGCAAGGTAAGCTACAGCATAGGCTTTCGGCAAGGAGAGCAGGTCGGAAGGAACAGCGAAATAATTGCCAAAGGATATAAGCGAACGTTGTAGACAAGAAAAATGTTAAGCTTTCTATCTCTAATCTTCTCCCATATACTCTACTTCTCTTCCTAACTTGATCGTCAGAGGGTTCACTGGGGGACTACCCCGTTCCCCATTGAACTTGTTTGCAGGGTATCCGGTGGGCTCGATCATTTGCGCTTGGGCTTGAGGAGCTTGGACCAGTTCGATCCATTCACCGGGGATAAACTATATCAACAACTATAAATATTTATGTGGTATTTAATTAAACATTTAGGGTGTCACACCGTTGCTATTCCTAGTTATGAGATGAGATTTGTTTTTTTAAAGCATAATATTTTTTTAATGTATAATTACTTTGTTATGAAATGAGATTTAAGAAAGTGATAAATATTATGAGAGAGATTTTAGGAACTTATAATTTAAAATTTTAGGTAATTTTTTTGTTTTGTTTTTTTTTTGTTTAATATATAATTATCTTGCTAGTCAACAGAATTATTTTTAGATTTTTTTAAAATCACAAAAATTAACAATTGTGGAATAAGATTTTGGAACTCTCACAAGTCTTCTCACTAAAAATTTCATCTTCCTTATATAATATATATATATATATATATAAATAAATAAATAAATAAATATCAAATTATTTATTTCAATATCACTTATAAGTACATATGTCATTTATTTATTTCCCTATCCGTTTAACATTACTTTTGTGCCTACCTTACCATCACTAGTCGCCGCCATTGGCCATGCTGGTATATCACCAACAAAAATCATGGATTAAAATGACCTCACAAGAATGGACATTTTATCAATTAACCCTTAATTAATGAGGGGGTAAAGTGCCACATTTCCAAAATTTAGGAGCCAAAGTACCATTAACCGTTTCTTGGGGGAGAAAAGTTCCTCTCTTGGAGAGAACTCAACCACGGCACAGAGGCAGAGAGGGAGAGGGTTTTGCAGAGCAAGACTTGAACTAATTGAACTAAATCGTTGGAATTGAGGTTATCATAGAGCAGAGCATTCAAGCATTCTTAGCAATGGATGTGATAAAGGCGCAGCAAATATCAGCGAGGCCGATCCAGAAAGTGATAGTGCACCCTCTGGTTCTTCTCAGCATCGTCGACAACTACAACCGAGTCGCCTAAGACACTCGCAAGCTCGTCATCGGTGTCCTCCTCGGAAGCTCTTTCAAAGGCACCGTCGATATCTCCAACAGCTACGCAGGTCCCAATTTCTCTTCAGATCTTGAGCTTCTTCTCATTTCCATTGCTTTCTAGTCCCAATTTCACTTTTTGCATTCTATTCATGTATGTATGAGTACAGTTGAATGAAAAAAAAAACCCAACTTTTTCCCTCTATTTGTCCACAGAAGCACAATTTGGGTTTGTTTTATTGGGGTTTTAAGGCTGAATGGTACTAATTTAGATTGTGATTGGTCTTCCAGAGAAACACAATTTGGGTTTGTTTTATTGAATTTTTAAGGCTGAATGCCAATAGATTTTTGGGTCTACATCGTAAGTTAGATTTTGATTGGTTTTGTTTTGGAGGGAATGAGAGAAAATGATGGAAATAATGAGCGGTAGAGAGGTGGATTTTCTTAAATGGCTTCCTTTTCATGAGCTTTTTAATGAAGTTGTTTGTTTGTGCTCTTTCTTTGTGCATTAAGGTCTTGATAGTGATTTAAGGTTGTGAGACTTATTTTTGTTTTTACTTGTCCCAAAAGGTTTGGAACCCTGTATATAATTTGATTTTAATTTGGTTATAGTTGTTCACTGTGAAGGTTGCACATAGCAGTAGGGCAATATTATATGCTCCATAGGTCTACAAAGAACATTTTATATGCTAATTAGTCCTGGGCAAGTGATTTAGTTAGTTAATTCTATATATGTTGTAAATTATGGTTGTACTTTGGTTTATAGAATGTTATATCTTGTTGTGTAATGAGTTTAACAATATTTATTAGTGTTTCTAAATGGAAGAATCTCTCTCTCTCTCTCTCTCTCTCTTTCTCTCTCTATCACGACCCTATTTCGCCCCTAGTAGAATGCTGCCGTGATGGCCAGTAATCCGAGATTACCAAAGGCCAACTTATAAAGATTCACACACAATCAGAGTATACATATGGGGCTTACATGTGCGGAAGCAATAAATTTAAATCTAAGTAGTCCATAAGAGCTGTGCATAGATAAAATGAAATGACATACATCTTAACATGGTTTTACAACTTGAATACAAAATAAAATGGAGTACATATTACATTTTGATCAAAAGGCTTCTCAAGCCGAAATATACAAAAGAAATGAATTACAAACTAAGAAGCATAATCTTCAAGATGATACAAAATATGAATCAAAACATTTTGCACATAACATCTTAGGCGTCACCGCCTTCTTGTTCGTCACATACATATATATAAAGGGGAGGGTAAGCTTGGATACTCAGTGAATGATATTAGAAATAAAGGTTTGAATGAATGATATCCGAGATCTTTATCAAAACAATACATATCATAACTTGTAACAAAACATGGGATGAATCAAGTTCATCAATCAAAGTATTTCAAAACTTCTTAGATGTTAATAACATCTACATAATACCAAAAGATGATATTCCGGACAAAACAAGGGAATAACCGTCCCGGAATCGAAGCACACCCGTTCACGACCGTCGGTGGCCGACCCAGAATCGGTTAAACAACCCACGCGGAAAACCTTCAGTGGCAAAACAAGGGAATAATCGTCTCGGAATCAAAGCACACCCGTTCACGACCGTCGGTGGCCGACCCGAGATCGATTAGACAAACTCACCCGTACAAGACCATCGGTGGCAAAAGAGATATCTCAACAAAGGTGCTACATAGGCTTAACGTCCCCTAGCACGAAAGGACGTTCCAAGAATGTCATCAAAACAAATATAATACTTGATACAAAAACTAGGGATAATCATTCATACTTGAACAAATACTTTTCCAAAACGAAACAAAGCAAGCTTTTATCAAAACATTGTAACATAGCTTTATTAAAAATACCACTCACATAGCTCTTCGGGTGTAGGGATTAAGGCAGGGATCCAAGACCTACAAATACATAATAAAAGTCCATTGAATGCACTTCAAGAAGACAAGAAGGAATGCTCAAAGATGGTTATGAAATGCACTTTCAAAACAAGCTTTACATGAGGGAAAAGATCCCGGCATTTCTTTCCAAAACCAAGTCAAGACAAAGCAAAACATGTACTGGGAGTTAAAACACTATTTTTCTTCTAGGAAAAACATACTGGGTACCAATCAGGTCTTGGAATGGATGCACAGAGATGATCTAGGCTAAAATGACCCAGCTGGGTGAACTCAGGAGGTCTTGGCCGAGGTCCCACACCTCTTGGCCAAGGTGTGGTTACCTAGGCTTCGGTGTGCAGCTGCCTGCCGAGGTGTTACAAGGTGATGGCAAGAGTGTACCATGGTCGGCCTAGGTGTGCAGTAGTTAGCCTAGGTGTGCATGCAAGATAGACTAATAGTGCAAGTGATCATGCAAGGTAGGCCAATGTGAGATACGATGCTTGGCCTAGGTGTGAGATCTAGGTAAGAGTGGTCTCGGTGACCACACCTAAGGAAAGGTGAAGTCTGGAAATCTGGGTTTCCTCCCTTGAAGAACATGAACATGAAGAACATGAATGCTAGATTCATAACTTTTATTCCAAAATCTGAGATTTCATGGTATGAGTTCAAAATCATGGACCTAGGTAACCATACTTGGAGATTTCATGAAAACAAACAAAAAAATGTGGAACTTGTTACAAACTTTCGTATCAAAACATGGTTTTTCTTCAAGAACAAAAGAACATCATTTTCTCTTTCTAAAACCAAACTTTAAATCAATGCATGACTTATGAATCATGCTAGATCATGCAATGCGATTAGATCAACATAAAGAACGACAAGAGTAAATCAAGAATCTAACCTCAAAATGCAAATCCAACAGTTCAAATTCTAAGGATCAAGTTTGGAAATCTAGCTCTCTTTAAGAACTACTTCCTCTTCTTCCTAGAGCTTCTCTCTCTACAAGGCTAGGATATGACAAAATGATATGGGTTCTCAGCTAGTACCTGACTTAACCCTCTGCTAGGACACGTGGCAACGCCGAATTGGATGTCCTCAAAAAGGTGACAGAATGACAAGACAAGAGTATGACAAAGTGTGTATAACAAGCAAGGTGACAAGGGCACTCTAACAAGGCGATGACCTCAGATCAAAACATAGGCTTCGGGCAAGAAGGTTTCGATGATCTCGGCTAGGAAGGATAATGCTTGGTCTAACTGTGCCACACCTCGGTGTAGATCATACCAGTCCAGGAACAAGATCACTAAGTGCAAGGATCAAGAATGTTGGATGCCTAGATGATAACATCTCGGCTTAGATGATAAACATCTCGGCCTAGGTGATGAACACCTCGGCCTAGATGATGGCATCTCGGCCAATATGCCAGGGTGAAGGTGAAGGTCAATCGAAGTGATTCTAAGATGGTCCTAGGTGTAAGAGGTTCAAGGGTGTGACCTAGGCTACACACACCAAGCAAGGAACAAAGCATACAAGCAATACTCAAGCAAATCACATAAGTACAAAACAAGATAGGGACTTTTACTTTAGGCAAAACAAGTCAAAGTCTACATGTACAAACTTAACAAGGCAAAATCATATAAATACTCATGAACATGACTAAGACAAGAATGTGGGTTATTACACTCTCTCTCTCTCTCTCTCTCTCTCTCTCTCTCTCTCTCTCTCTATTTTGTAGTTCCTTTTGAAGAAGATGATAAGGATCCAAGCATGTGGTTTCTTGACCACAATTACCATGAGTCAATGTTCTCCATGTTCAAGAGAATAAATGGTACGTGTTTCACCTGTAGCGGCAAGAATCAGTCGTACCTTTACTTTGTGAGGGTGTTGTGACTAAATTGCTTTTTATTAACTTGTGAAATGGTCACAGCCAAGGAGCATGTTGTGGGTTGGTACAGTACGGGACCAAAGCTGCGGGAGAATGACCTAGATATTCATGGTTTATTTAATGAGTAAGATAATTAATCTTTCTACTTAAGAGAAGGTGCTGCTTGTGCAAGTAAAATTTTGTGTTTGCAGTTTGTTATCTTTGTTTTTCTTATCTATCCAATCAACAAATAGCTTGGCAATCCCCACAACAACTCTTTCTCTGTTTCTTTTTATTTCCATGTATCACCCTTATTGTTTGATGCCTTTGGCAATTGCAGTTATGTTCCAAATCCTGTCTTGGTCATAATAGATGTCCAACCTAAGGAGCTTGGAATACCCACTAAGGCTTACTATGCTGTTGAAGAGGTTAAAGAGGTAAATAGCACTATAGCAGTTTCAGGGTTTCTTGTCAAGCTGTTGTATATAGTTGATCAGATATGTTATATTGAGCTTGGATATAAGAGATCTGTTGCTAAGATATACTTGATCTAGAATGTCTATTGAATAACAGAGAGAAACTGATAAAAAAATCACAAAGTTTGTGACCCTGCTATTAGTTGCTGAAATCCTTTATCATGCTGAAATTGAACCAAAGTAACAGTCACTTATGGTTGCAGAATGCTACTCTGAAGAGCCAGAAAGTGTTTGCTCATGTACCCTCAGAAATTGCTGCTCATGAAGTTGAGGAAATTGGTATTCCTTTTTCCATTTAGCTATTTGTTTCCACAAAAACTGCAGAACATGCAATCTGCTTTAGATGTTGAATGTTTTTATTTGATAAGTATATTTATTAATGAAACAAAATATATATTTTTTTTGATAAACATATTTATTAATGCAACAATGAGCACAAATTGCATACACGGCGTATACAAAAGGAGTGGAATATTTGATCTTCCTGCTTTTTCCATTTCTCATGCCAACAGGAGTGGAACACCTGCTATGGGATGTGAAGGATACAACCATTAGCACACTTGCAACTGAGGTTTCTAATTTTGCTTATTTTAAGTTTCGTTGCATTTTTTTCTTTCACTCAGCTATAGTAAAGAATTGAATCTTGTAGTTTGACAATGTGTAATTTTTTTTCCTTTCCTTTAATTTTCTTGCTTTGTAACTTTATGGGTATTTCAACTATATTCGATCAAAAGGAGAATTGTGAATAACACTTACCTTTGCACTTGCTAGGTTACAGGAAAATTTGCAGCCTTAAAGGGTTTGGATGCACGACTACGAGAATTATGTGGTTATCTTGATCTTGTTATTGATGGCAAGCTTCCTTTAAATCATGAAATCCTTTATCATTTACAAGTAATCTCCTATATTGACTTGTATTTATTTCTACTTAGAAAATGGAGCCTTTGTTTAACATTTAATATATTCTTTCTTTGCACATTTCATATATGAATTTCTATAAAACTGCAGGATGTATTCAACCTTCTTCCAAATCTGAATGTGGCTGAGCTAATCGAGGCATTTGCTGGTAAATATTTATATATATTATAAGAAAGAAACCAAATATGTTAAGTAGGAATGTAAAATTGGCCTGCTCAGCCTGGCTTGGCCTGAGTTTAAGCGGAAAGCCAGTGGGCTCTGTGCTGGACCAATTTCCAAAAACCCCCGTCTAGGCCAGCCATCTTACATATTGTTTGTTCCCCCTTTGTATTTGCAGTGAAAACAAATGATATGATGTTGGTCATATATCTTTCCTCTTTGATCAGAAGTGTGGTAGCACTCCACGACCTGATCAATAGCAAGGTAACTTTTGCTCTCCTGAACACAAATGTCATTTTGTACTTAATTCATGGCTTTATTGGTACCTGATAATTAGCTTAATGTATAGATTATATGTTGGGTATCGTTAAAAATACAAATTACTAGGTGGTCTTTTAGGCGCTAATAATTTACATATTTATTTTACGGGATAAACCAAATGTAGAAGGTTGAAATCAGCCTGCCACAGGTGCAAGAATGCTGCCTCCACATCCTGTTTTTATAATGATCGTCGCTCAAGTGTCGTGTGAGCTTATAGTCCATTTGGATCGAGTGATTTGGTGAGAAATTACAAGAATTGAGGAGAAAGTTAACTCTTCTCATATTTGGTTTATAATTTAGGTGAGAAGTGGTGAAAATTTGAGAGAAATAGAACTCATTTATGTAATAGGTTGTGTATTTTTTTTAATAATACCGTGATTGCTCAGTAAATAAAAAAAGAAAAGAAAAGAAAAAGAAATACCATTCATATCCCTATATCACATACATTGTTTTCTTACTCATCCAAACATGATAGTGAGAAATCACAATCATTTCTACTCTTTTTCACCAAGATGAGAGACGAAAGTCATTTTTCTTTTCTTTTCTCACCCCATGATCGAAACACGGAGTGTTAATGTCAGATCTTTCTCAACAGGGGTACTAATAGATGGACTTTGGGAGTTTTCTTGATGTTTCAATCAGGCCCTCTTTGCATCTTTATAAATATTGGATGGGTAAAAGAATGCCATTTTTGTATTTAAGATCATTTACAAACATCCTCTTCTCCTATTCCCCAGATGCTTAACAAAGAACATGAAAAAGCTGAGGATTTGAAGCCTGCTCCCGTCCCAGCCAGCACTTGAAGTTGATTGGATTTTACTGGATTTCACACATGATAGAGCTCAAGGTGAAGCTTCCGGGGAGGAGGGGAATCTGTCCTACTCTGATGCTTCTCATTGATGAGAATTTTTGAATTTTTCATGTTGCAGCCAGAGACCATAGGTCTCCACAGGTCTCCATTCTTGATTCATCGCTGCTGTTGATTCATTATCAGTTGGTGAATTTTAATTTGCTTACCGGTCAATGTACCATGTTTAATGGCTGCAAAAATAATATCTTCTAATGATTGTTTTGTTCAGCATCTTGTCTCCTCTCCATCATCTTTATTGACCACAGCATTTTATTTTGTGCTTCATTCTGAGGATATGTTCTTTCAGTTATCAGTTGAACTATAAAGATCTATGTCAATTTGGAGCAATGAGATCTGTGAGGAAGAATAATCAGTCCTCAGATGGATTATTTGTCATCAAGGTGTCCTAGTCGACTGTCCATTTGCCTGCAGGCTTATCCTTTAATGAAAAACCTGTTTCTCGACAGATTGCAGTAATGGGTGGCTGAAAGGGCTCACCAAGGTGTATATCCCTTTTCTGGCTAGCGGTGATGTCAGTGGATATGACTTGGATCGTTCATATCCACTCCCTAGACTCGCAGAAGAAACATACCAAAGTTTGGATCCAATACAGCCACCAATTGGTCCCCCTTACACGAGCTCTTGAAATGAAGAAAGCTTCCAGTCATGGGATCCGAGATTTTGAGAAGCTCCCTTGATTTGTGGTAACTATGCAGCACCAATACTGCCTTAGAAATGATTTGGATTAGTTAGAATTGATATAATTGATTGTACTATTTATTAGTGTGAGCCAGTCTTATATATAATTGTCAAATTGGGATTCGAATCGTAAATTGAAATGATTTGATCAGGAAGAACCTTGTGAAGAAATGCATTGAGATGTTCAATGAGATTGCAGAGAACAAGGAGGACTACAACAAATTCTATGAAGCTTTCTCCAAGAATTTGAAGTTGGGTATCCATGAGGACAGCCAGAACAGGGGGAAATTGGCTGATTTGCTCCGATATCACTCAACAAAGAGCGGCGACGAGCTGACTAACTTGAAGGATTATATCACGAGAATGAAGCAAGAAGACCATGGAGATCAATCCTGACAATGGAATTATGGAGGAGTTGAGGAAGAGAGTTGAGGCTGACAAGAACGACAAGTCGGTGAAAGATCTTATGATGCTGCTGTTTGAGACGGCGCTCTTGACTTCTGGGTTCAGTCTTGATGATCCAAATACATTTGCTGCGAGGATTCACATGATGTTGAAATTGGGTCTGAGCATCGAGGAGGATGAGGAAGCAGGCGAGGATGCCGACATGCCAGCTCTGGAAGAGGAGGCTAACGGGATCACTCATAGGTTAGAAAGAGAAAAGCAGAGAAGACAGAGAGAAAAAGAGAATAGAAAGAAAAGAAGAAGCAGAAGATATGGGAAAAGGAGAAGATGAGAGAGAACTAAAAAAACAAAAGTTGATACCTATATCTAAAACTAAAACCATGATGAGACTTCAGACACTTGATTAAATGTTTTCACATTTTTAGAATTGGGTTCACATGAGACTACAAGCACTTGATTAAATGTTTTCACATTTTTAGAATTGGGTTCACATGAGACTACAAGCACTTGATTAAATGTTTTCACATTTTTAGAATTGGGTTCACATGAGACTACAAGCACTTGATTAAATGTTTTCACATTTTTAGAATTGGGTTCACATGAGACTACAAGCACTTGATTAAATGTTTTCACATTTTTAGAATTGGGTTCACATGAGACTACAAGCACTTGATTAAATGTTTTCACATTTTTAGAATTGGGTTCACATGAGACTACAAGCACTTGATTAAATGTTTTCACATTTTTAGAATTGGGTTCACATGAGACTACAAGCACTTGATTAAATGTTTTCACATTTTTAGAATTGGGTTCACATGAGACTACAAGCACTTGATTAAATGTTTTCACATTTTTAGAATTGGGTTCACATGAGACTACAAGCACTTGATTAAATGTTTTCACATTTTTAGAATTGGGTTCACATGAGACTACAAGCACTTGATTAAATGTTTTCACATTTTTAGAATTGGGTTCACATGAGACTACAAGCACTTGATTAAATGTTTTCACATTTTTAGAATTGGGTTCACATGAGACTACAAGCACTTGATTAAATGTTTTCACATTTTTAGAATTGGGTTCACATGAGACTACAAGCACTTGATTAAATGTTTTCACATTTTTAGAATTGGGTTCACATGAGACTACAAGCACTTGATTAAATGTTTTCACATTTTTAGAATTGGGTTCACATGAGACTACAAGCACTTGATTAAATGTTTTCACATTTTTAGAATTGGGTTCACATGAGACTACAAGCACTTGATTAAATGTTTTCACATTTTTAGAATTGGGTTCACATGAGACTACAAGCACTTGATTAAATGTTTTCACATTTTTAGAATTGGGTTAACGTGAACGTAAACATGAACAATGGTGCGTGAATACAAAATGTGGACCATCCCTGAGGGAAGCCGACAGTGTTGACGTTAAACCCAGCAATGGTGGACTGTCACAGATGATGTGGGCCACAAAACACAAACCTTAAAATGGATTATACATACATACTCACCAAGATCTCACACTTCCACCTCCCTCACCAAACGTGGGATTATACATACCCAAAATAAAACAAACACATTCCACAATTTATGTGAGGGCATATTCGTCCTCCACATAACAATGTAAATTCAAAAAAGGAGTAAACTGTAAGATATCCATTCTAACATGGACTTACCAATCAAACAAAAAATTTGTGGGACCAAACGGAACATAATTTACCTAGATGGGACTTTCCGATAAATTTCCCTTTTTTTAATTATTGATGATAATTAGATAGCATTAAAAAATTGTGATTTGTATGATTGAAATTATCTCATTTTGTTTATAATTTTATTTTTTAATATGATTGAAGTTAGATAAACATAAATACTTACAAAAAAAATGTGATTGTAACACTTTCAACTTCAGTGACCACATATACAAACAGTAAGTTTTCTTTTTGTTTTCTCCTTCTTGACTTTTCCTTTTGTTTACTATTTTAATATTGTAGTTAGATAGCGCATAAAAATATTTATGATTTGTCTAGCAATAAAAAATTATAATTTGATTTTTTAATATGATTGAAGTTAGATAAATAAAAACCCTCACAAAGAGAAAAATGTGATTATAATTAGTTGAATGATTCTTTTTTTTTTTTAATGTGATTGTAGTTAGTTTAATAGTTTTTTTGTCATTTATTTATTTTATTATGGAAAAAATGTGATGTGATTGTAGTTTGTTCAATGGTTCTTTTTTTTAATATGATTGTTGTAGTTAGTTTAATGTTTTTTTTAATGTTATTTAATCTTTTTATTTAGTATTTTAATTTTATTTTTAATATGATTGAAGTTAGATAAACGTAAATACTCACAAAGAAAAAATTGTGATAGTTGAATGATTCTTTTTTTTAGGGCAAATTACAAACACTCTCCTCGAGATTTGGTGAAAATACAGATTTTTCCATGAGGTTTTAGAAATTACATCATGCCCCCTGAGATTTATATTTCCATAGCAAATTGCCCCATGAGTTTTTATTTTCATACAGATTTTCCCCTAATTTGTTATGCAAATTTGACCATCAGGGGGCAATTTGTAATTTCTCAAACCTCATGGGGAAATCTGTATTTTCATCAAACCTCGAGGGGGGTGTTTGTAATTTGCCCTTTTTTTTAATATGATTGTAGTTAGTTTAATAGTTCTTTTTTTTCATTTATTTATTTTATTATGGAAAAAATGTGATGTGATTGTAGTTTGTTCAATGGCTCTTTTTTTTAATATGATTGTTGTAATTAGTTCAATGGCTTTTTTTTTTAATGTTTTTTAATCTTTTTATTTACTATTTTAATTTTATTTTTAATATGATTGAACTTAGATAAATATAAACACTCACAAAGAAAAAAATGTGATGGTAGTTAGTTCAATGTTTTTTTTTTTTTTAATATGATTGTAGTTAGTCAATGGTTCTTTTGTTCATTTATTTATTTTTTTTATTATGAGAAAAATGTGATGTGATTGTATTTTGTCAATAGTTCTTTTTTTTTTAATGTGATTTAATCTTTTATTTACTTTTTTAATTGATTTTTTTAACTCACTGCATTTTTTGAAAAAAAAATTATTGTGTTTTTTTAACTATCAATTCACTTAATTTGTGATTTAATTTTTTACTCACTGTGTTTTTTGAAAAACAAAATGGATTGTACTTATTAGGGTCACATAATGTACCAATTATTGATGATGATTAGATTGTATTTTGACCCAAAAAAATTGTAATTGATCTTTTTAACTCACTATGTTTTTTGAAAAATAAATTATTGTGTTTTTTAATTATCATTTGACTTAATTTGTGATTGATTTTTTTAATTATTGATGATAATTAGATAGCATTAAAAAAATTGTGATTTGTATGATTGAAGTTATCTCCTTTTGTTTATAATTTTATTTTTTAATATGATTGAAGTTAGATAAAAATAAACACTTATAAAAAGAAAAATGTGATTGTAATTTATTCAATGGTTCTAAATAATCTTTTTTATTTACTATTTTAATGGTTATTTTTTTCAATTATTTTTTTTTATTATGAGAAAAATGTCATTGTAGTTAGATAGCATTAAAAAAATTGTGATTTGTATGATTTAAGTTATCCCCTTTTGTTTATAATTTGATTTTTTAATATGATTGAAGTTAACTCACAAAAGAAAAAATATGATTGTAGTTTGTTCAATGGCTTTAAATAATATTTTTATTTACTATTTTAATGGTTCTTTTTTTCAATTATTATTTTTTTATTATGAGAAAAATATGATTGTAATTAGATATCATTAAAAAAATTGTAATTTGTATGATTGAAGTTATCTCCTTTTGTTTATAATTTGATTTTTTAATATAATTGAAATTAGATAAATATAAACACTCAAGGGGGGTTTTTAAGCAAAAGGGGATTTTTAACCCCAAGGCCTGTGGGAGTTTCAATATCTCAATCTGAATTTTCTAAATTTTTTTATTAAAAAAAAACTCAGCACTTATTGATTTAGTCAAAATCCCCTGATAAGCATTTATTAACTTTTTTCAATCCACATGCCTGCATTTATTAATTTGGTCAAAATCTCCTGATCAGCATTTAAAATCACCTCATACAAATAACTATAGATACAATCTGTGTATAGTTACTACAGTACCCTTTTTAACTTCTCTCATACACTATGGTTAGTGATAAGATTGTTAAATTATTTTTATAAAAAATCTTAAAAAACATAATTTATATATTAAAAAAATCTAAAACAAATATAAATATTTATAATTATCTCGTACATAGTACGGGTGATAGGCTAGTTATTAGTTAATATAAAATCACAAATAGAATTGGACAGACTTTTGGTATCTCTCATTCACTTAATTATGCATTTCTCACTATTATAATAGGAAATCTCTTTGATCAAAGATTGGTGATATAATTATATGATATTACTTTTACACTAAATTCTTATTCATGTTTGAGCGATATATACATATAACTGCTACTTAACGTTAACATGTGTTTTTAAATTTGATTTTCTGTGCATTTACCTTCTTTCTTTTTTTAATTTTTATTTTTACAAACAATCTAATCTGGGTTGATTTTTCTTATTATAACTATTGATAATGCTTAACATCGACCAACAAGATGCCTGAATTGTGAAGTAAATAGAGATAAATTAATTGCTATGGTTTGTGCAGGGCAAATGGCCTTATCTAGGGCACATACCCAAATGTATTGGCTT